CAAACCGATCTGTCTACTTGTACGTCTGGCCGGCGGCGCTGACCGTGAACGGGCGTTCCTCGATCCCTTTTTGAGGGTGTTGGCTGCTGTTCACATTGTGGAGACAACACAGCACTTCTCTGTGCGGCCAACTCTGTGCTTTTCCTGTGCTTCGGTGCTGGTGTGCACACGCGGCTGTCATGCATGTTCCACGGATGGACCAATCGCCGTGCTCGTGAACTCGCCAACGCGCGGCCTACCGCCTGAACTGTAACATATGTGAGACGTGCTCGAGCTAAGGTCCATACTCATCTGCAGCGTACCCATGCCACAAAAGATATGTGTGCTGGACAGCGGCTACAACCAACCGTGTTGCCGCTATGCGTACGTAATCGTGCGCTGCTCAAGAAACCGCATGTTTGTCTACAATTCCTCACCATACTCATCCGACCACGAAGAATGCTCCAGTGTGAGAGTAGATGTTCGTTTGGTCAACCATTTTGGCGATTGGGGGTAGCCCAAGGCCGTCGCATTCAGTCTCACGCAACAGCAGAGGTGTGCGGCGTGCGCAAGAAAGAAAAAACGAAAAAAATTCTCCAACTCTATTTTGAAGTAATGCGACGGAATGAATCCTTGGAATAAACTGAGGGTGATTTTAACATTCCCTCGAAGATTTGGAGACCGTAAACATGGGTCTGATACTCTTCTTCAGTTATTATCACCTTTGTTTTTTTTCTCCCATCATTGGACTCTGTCGTCTACCCCCTATGGCCCCTGTCCTCCACTTCTACCAGCTAAACGACCCAACCGGGGTCACATGGGCGGGGGGTTGGACCCCCTACTGCGGTTCTCACTGTACCTACGTGGTGTCTTCGAGTGCAGCAGAGTACTCAGTATAGAGTACGTCTTTGAACGACACTCACAGCGATGACACGCCCCGAGTTCAAGGCTGGGCTGGCTGGTAGCTCTGTTATCCACTATTTTTCGGCATATCTTCACGTCCATGTATGTGTTCGTTTGTGTGCATGTCCAGAGATATCCCTCAGTCTTCTGCTTCTTGTGTATCCAATCGCTCCTTTGCCCCGAGTCCTCGACATGACCTAAGGCGTGCAGTCTATAATAGTCATATTCAGCTACTTCCAAGGGCATGTTAAGACTCTCGGGAACCAAATTCCCGGACTGATCGTTGAGCTGCAAAGCGTTTCGTTGGGCCCCGGTTCGGTGTGCGCGAAGTAACACGACATAGCAGTGGTTGTGGTGTCTGTTTTATATGCCATTTTCAAAGGTGGACCACCGGTGGTGGCGGTGGCGGTGGCGAAACAACCTGCAGCCCTTTGAATTGCAATACACGGCCGAAATCGTAGGCACGTGTCCACCCGCGCCACCTCGTTGGCTATATCCCATTGTTTATCTCTGCCCAGCAGCCGTACTCACCAGATTGTCCGGACTGGAGAACATTGGCGCGAGGAGGAAGGGGAAGATACTGGAAACGATCCACAACTGTTGACCAGTCAACGCCGACCAACCTCCAGCACTGGTGATGTCGGCTATCGGCGAGACGTTCCGGGGCAGCATTCGGCGCCATGCAAACCGAGCACGCACAATATCAGAACCAGCCGGATCAAGAGCATCCATCACAAAGCCCATGATCTTCTTGCCCGAGTAAAGCGCAGATTGCGTCAGCAGTAACATCAAAGATTCGGGGGTGGGGGTGGGGTCAGAGTCAAATTAGCTGGCAGGTTACCGGGGTTGAATGATACCTCGCCCGTCAGGGCACATGCCGCTTGGCTAGTAATCCGAGCGTCGCTTTGCTCATTTTGGGAA